ATCCTCCTCGGTTTGGGTAGAGTTAGCATGGGTTTGGGTAGCAATAGTTTCCGACCCTCTGCGAGCTGTGGCATATGAAAAATCATGGATGCTTCCGCCATCATTCATTCACCTCCGCCATCATTCATTCACTTCATTGTCGTTTTCGCTATTGTTTCGTTTTTTCCCCGTTTGCTCTTGTTTTTCGTTTTCTTGCAACTGTATTTTCGGGCCGCTAACTTACTTTTTGTTGTCTTTTTGCCCTTCCCCTAGTGAAGAAGACTAACGTTTCCAAGAAGTGACGCGACTGTAGTTGAAGGAAGAAAAGCGAGTGAAGGAGATCCCGCCATCCGCATTCGCTATTCGCCAACCACATTCTCGAAGGTAGATTCTCCTCACCGTGATCAATATCATGTTATTGTTTTTGTCTAATTCAGCTTTCCTTGCTCTTTACAATTTTTTACCTCCAAGCAAGTTCTGATTTTGTGATCTTGACTTGTGCAGAATAGAGCTAACGCTACTTCAAGATGCTGCTGAAGTTGGTGATGCTGCTAAAGTTGATGCGGTGCTGCTGCAGTTGAAGTGATGCAGCTGAAGTTGAAAATCTGCAGCCCCCTGCCATCCGCCACCCTCCATCCAACATTCGACACCTGCCATCCGCCACCCGCAAGTCCTCCAATCTGAAGTCTAAAGTAAGAATCTTCTTACTCGAATCTCTAAGTCGAATCTCTTTTGTTGCTCTTTATTTGCCTCTTAAGATTCTTCTTTTTAGCTTCGTTGCAAGTACTGATTTTGGGTTCTTGACTTGTGCAGGAAGGGAGCTGACGCTGCTTCAAACTGAAGTTGGTGATGCTGCTGAAGATGGTGATCCTGCTGAAGTTGAAGTGGTGCTGCTGCAATCAAAGTGATGCAGCTGGAGTTGAAGAGAAGCAGCCCTTCATCCGCAACCCTCCATCCAACAGTCGACACCCGCCATCCGCCACCTGCAAGTCCCCTAATCCGAATTTCATTGTAAGATTCTTCCTTAAGTTGCTGCTTAATGCCTAAGTCTGATTTCGTTTTTCTCTCTTAATTTTGCTCTATTAGACTTAAGACTCTTTTTTTATAGTTTTGTTGCAAGTACTGATTTTGGGTTCTTGACTTGTGCAGGAAGGGAGCTGCTGCTTCAAACTGAAGTGATGCTGCCGAAGTTGGTGATGCTGCTGAAGTTGGTGATGCTTCTGAAGTTGAAGATCCTGCTGAAGTTGAATCGGTGCTGCTGCAATTGAATTGATGCAGCTGGAGTTGAAGAGAAGCAGCCCCTGCCATCCGCCACCCTCCATCCAACACTCGACATACGCCATCCGCCACCCGCCAAGTCCTCCAATCCGAAATTCACAGTAAGATTCCTCCTCTCTCCTTTTGTTGATGCTTTATGGCTAAGCCTCATTTCGTTTTTTGCTCTTATTTGCCTCTAAGCTTCTTCTTTTTAGCTTCATCCCAAGAACTGATTTTGGGTTCTTGACTTGTGCAGGAAGGGAGCTGACGCTGCTTCAAACCGAAGTGATGCTGCTGAAGTTGGTTATGCTGCTGAAGTTGAAGATCCTGCTGAAGTTGAAGCGGTGCTGCTGCACTTGAAGAGATGCAGCTGGAGTTGAAGAGAAGCAGCCCCCTGCCATCCGCCACCCTCCATCCAACACTCGACATACGCCATCCGCCAAGTCCTCCAATCCGAAATTCACAGTAAGATTCCTCCTCTCTCCTTTTGTCGATGCTTTATGCCTAAGTCTGATTTCGTTTTTTGCTCTTATTTGCCTCTAAGCTTCTTCTTTTTAGCTTCTTTTCAAGTACTGATTTTGGGGTTCTTGACTTGTGCAGGAAGGGAGCTGACGCTGCTTCAAACTGAAGTGATGCTGCTGAAGTTGTAGATCCTGCTGAAGTTGAAGCGGTGCTGCTGCACTTGAAGAGATGCAGCTGGAGTTGAAGAGAAGCAGCCCCCTGCCATCCGCCACCCTCCATCCAACACTCGACATACGCCATCCGCCACCCGCCAAGTCCTCCAATCCGAAATTCAAATGTAAGTTTTTTTCCTATCCTTTTGCTGCTGCTTTGAGCTATTGCTTTCAATTCAACATTGTTATTTCTGTTTGCTATAGCATTCCTCTTCCTTTCTTTCTTGTTGTTGTAAACTTCTAACTCAGTTTTGTGGTTTTGTGCAGGGAACCGAAGTGCTGCTGCAGTTGTCACTTGGCGCTGCTGAAATTGAACTCGTAGCTGCAAGGACCAGATCGGAGCTGCTGCAAGGAGCTGAATGGGAGGAGCTGCTGTTAGGAGCTGCTGGGAGGAGCTGCTGAGAGCAGCTGAATGGGAGGAGCTGCTGGGAAGAGCTGCTGGGAAGAGCTGCTGTTAGGAGCTGCTGGGAGGAGCTGCTGGGAGGAGCTGCTTGGAGGAGCTGCTGGGAGGAGCTGCTGTTAGGAGCTGCTGGGAGGAGCTGAATGGGAGGAGCTGCTGGGAGGAGCTGCAAGGACCAGATCGGAGCTGCTGCAAGGAGCTGAATGGGAGGAGCTGCTGGGAGGAGCTGCACGGCGCTGCAACTCAATAAGTAAGCTGTCTCCTTTCAAGCTGTCTCCTTTCAAGCTATCTCCTTACATGCTGTCTCTTTACATGCTGTCTCTTTATGCTGTTGTGAACTTTATTCAATCTTCGTTTTCCCAGCCATGTGTAATTCTTTATACTGACTCTGTGTATTCGTCCTGTGCAGGCATGGCATGGCATGGAATGGCATGGATTGGCATGGCATGGCATGGCATGGCATGGCTGCTGGGAGGAGCTGCTGGGAGGAGCTGCTGCGGGGATCTTCACTGCACGACGCTTCAACTTTCAAGCTGTGACCCACAAAGTAAGTTGCCTTTCGCAAGCTCTCTCATTGCAAGCTGTCTCCTTACTCTGTTTCTCAATTGATTCAACTTTCGTTTTTCCCAGCCATGTATATTTCACTATACTGACTCGGTTTGTTTGCCCTGTGCAGAAAACTTGGATTCCGCCGCGCAATGGGGGCTGCCTGGGTGCCTCGACCAGGAGGGGGCTGAGCTGTGGCTGAGACGTGGCCAAGGCTTGATGGGGCCTTGGAGTGGCAAGCATGAGTCAGACATGCAGCAGCGCTTTCCCACACTGGGGAGGGTGTGGGGGGCAGAGTTCGGATACCCGTTCCAGTGGTGCTGTGATGAGCAACCGGGCCGGAACGTTTTGGAGCCCTGACGGTGTGCAGGCGGCCGGCCGGCGGGCTGTACATTGGAGGGAGGTTCAGGCCTTCAAATCGTTCTAGGCACCCGGATGGCCAGGTAGCATCACTGCTGGAGTGGGTTATGAGCTCTTCAAGTCAGTATCACACCGGGGCGGGTGTGGAGGGCTTGAGCTGCTAAAGAGGCCAGTACCACACCGGGGTGGGTGTGGAGGGTCCTCAGCCACTTAAGAGAGAGAGAGTAGTCCACACCGGCGTGGGTGTGGAGAAATCTCCTCTTTCCACTTAAGAGCTTTCTCACACTGGGGTGGGTGTGGGGGGTTCGCTCTCTCAGTCACTTGAAGGCTTTCTCACACCGGGGTGGGTGTGGGGGGCTCTCGGTTTCCTAGGCTAGTCCACACCCAGGCGGGTGTGGCTAGACCTCAGCATCAAAGGGAAAGTCTACACTGGGGTGGGTGTGGCTAGATCAAGCTGGTTTCAGCACTGCTGGAATTGGTTTGCTCTACTAAGGGGAAGTCCACACTGACGTGGGTGTGGCTAGAGCAAGCTCACTGTTGCTCTACGTTGGGGGATTTTTAGCCGAGTTATACGGCAGTACCCGTAACGCCTCCGGGTCTCAGCCCGTAAGCATCGCCCGGGAGATGCTGATGGGACGGATTTTTATCCCTGGCTCTGATGGTGAAGCCTAAAAAACAAAAAAAAAAACTAACAGAGTGGTGCCTTTCCATGGTGGGGTGGTCATGGAGGGCTGGATGGTGGCTGGCTGGAGAAGTGAAGGGAGAAAGTGGATGGATGGAGAAGTGAAATGGAGAAAGATGGTGGTCGGATGGAGAAAGATGGTGGCTGGATGGAGAAAGATGGTGGCTGGATGGAGAAAGATGGTGGCTGGATGGAGAAGTGAATGGGGCGATGGTTGGATGGTGAAGTCCATGAATGGCTCGATGGTGAAAAGATGGATGGCTAGATGGTGAAGAGAAGGGGATCATGGCTGGACTTGCAATGAATTTCTTATAGGGGTGATAGCTGAACTTGCAGTAAATTTATTCTAGGGGTGAGGGAGGGCTGAACTTGCAGTGAATTTCTTCTACGGTGTAATGTTTGGACTGGACTTGCAATGAATTTCTTCTAGGGGTGATAGCCGGACTTGCAAAGAGTTTCTTCTAGGGGTGATGGATGGATTTGCGAAGAATTTATTCTAGGGGTGATGGCTGGAGTTGCAGTGAATTTTTCTAGGGGACCACACTTGCAGTGAACTTATTATAGGGAGGCACACTTGCAGTGAACTTGTTATAGGGGAACAACTTCTAGGGGTGTGCAGTGAACTTCTTCTAGGGGTGTGCAGTGAACTTGTTCTAGGGAATCACACATGCAGTGAACGTCTTCTAGGGGTGTGCAGTGAACTTATTCTAGGGAATCACACGTGCAGTGAACTTATTCAAGGGGACCACACGTGCATACACGTGCAGTGAACTACTTCTAGGGGACCCCACATGCAGTTCAATAATGCTTAACTAGAAACATGCTTGTCATATACCCAGTAGACCTTCTTGTAACCTTGCATGATTCCAATTCCATCAATAATCACAGGAGCTACATCCTACTACAGCTCAGCTACCTTCTTCTCATCCCGCACTTGTTCTCTCGCAGCCTTGTTCACGCCCCTCTTCTCCATGCACCCGTGCTTCCACTTCACCCCTCTGCTCCATGCATGAGCTTGCATCCATGAATCCATGAGGCTGCATCCATGAGGCTGCATCCATGAGGCTGCCTCTGTCCTCTCAATCCCCATGGGGGGTTGCTCTCACTTCTCTTCCTGCGGCACAGCCTGTGAAATGCCAGCAGCTGATTCTTCTCGTGCTGCATCCACCTCTGATGTTTCCTGGCAGGACGTTTCCTCTGCCTCCTTGCTCAGCCTGCCATGTGACGGGAAAGAGGTGGGGGAGTGAGGGAACGAGGCGGTGAGAGCATGCTGTAACGCATGCCAACGTGCATGCCATTATGCATCCTGCAAGTGATACCAATACGATGTATTGGTATGAATGCGGTGATGCCTGAATGAGGGAATGCGGTGATGCATGAATGGGGGAATGCGGTGATGCCTGAATGAGGGAATGCGGTGATGCATGAATGAGGGAATGCGGTGATGCATGAATGAGGGAATGCGGTGATGCCTGAATGGGGGAATGCGGTGATGCCTGAATGAGGGAATGCGGAAGTGCCTGAATGAGGGAATGGGTTGATGCCCAAATCGAGGCAGAACCATAACCAGCGCAACGAAGACACAGAGATTGAATGAGAGGGGTGGAGAAGGAGAGGGAGAAATGGGAGAAACCACATAGAGCATGGTTGAGAATCACATAGAGCGGGGTTGAGAAACACATAGAGCGGGGTTGGGAAACACATAGAGCGGGGTTGAGAAACACATAGAGCGGGGTTGAGAAACACATAGAGCGGGGTTGAGAACCAGGGCTGCTGACTGGCAACAGCAGAGGCATCACGACACGAGCGAGTGCAGGCTTTGTCACACGGGGATGGTGTGTAAACAAAAACTTACTTCGAAAGTCGGATCGGAGCACATGGCGGGTAGCAGCTGGCGGTTGGCGGATGAAAGGATCCATCTTTACTTCAACAGTAGCAGCAGCGTCGCTTGTCTTCACTTCAACAGCAGTAGATTCTCGCAGATTCGGTTGACGTTGAAGTGAAGAAAAGCGACGCTGATGCTGCTGTTGAAGTGAAGATGGGTCCTTCCATCTGCCAACCGCCAACCGCCACTTGCCACCCACCAACCGCCTTGTGCTCCGTGTCGTCTCGTTCTTTTGCCATTTTCACGAAGCGTGGGACTCACCGTGACGGTGCGCACGCATCCCCCTCTCGACCCGTCTCGAGCCATGGCGAGTGACCCCGCTTTCACCACAAAGGCCTGGCAGGACAGGACGTGCGGGCGGGAGGCTGTGAAGGGAAGTAGCCCAACACGGGACGCAGGGCACACAGCACCCATGCGGTATGCACGCATCCCCCTCTCGACCCGTCTCGAGCCATGGCGAGTGACCCCGCTTTCACCACAAAGGCCCCGCTGCCATGGGCAGGCAGGGGAAAAGAGGTCAGGTGAGGCGGTGAAGGGAAGCAGCCCAGCGCAGGACGCAGGGCACACCGCACTGGTGCGCACACATCCCCCTCTCGCCCCGTCTCGAGCCTGGCAGGACAGGTATGCGGGCAGCGAGACAAGGGAAATGTGTGCACAGGACGCAGGGCACACGGCGGCTCCAATGCGCACGACGCCCCGTGCCGAGGCATGGCGAGGCACAGTGCCTTCACCACAAAGCCACTGTCCTTGGCAGGACAAGCAGACAGGCAGAGAGGGAAATGCGTCAGGAGGAGCAATGGGCACAGAAACAGCAGCTCAATCAAAGGGCACAAAAGGGGGTAGCATTTCCCATCATATCTGCTCTCTGTGCCGCAGCGCACAGCACACTGCCCCACCTCAGCCTCCTTCCTCTGCTCAGACCCTTTTTGAAGGCGAAGGGCACCTTGAGCAGAGTGCCTCTGCTCCGATGGCGAAGGGCGCCTTGAGCAGAGTGCCTCTGCTCCGATGGCGAAGGGCGCCTTGAGCAGAGTGCCTCTGCTCCGATGGCGAAGGGCGCCTTGAGCAGAGTGCCTCTGCTCCGATGGCGAAGGGCGCCTTGAGCAGAGTGCCTCTGCTCCGATGGCGAAGGGCGCCTTGAGCAGAGTGCCTCTGCTCCGATGGCGAAGGGCGCCTTGAGCAGAGTGCCTCTGCTCCGATGGCGAAGGGCGCCTTGAGCAGAGTGCCTCTGCTCCGATGGCGAAGGGCGCCTTGAGCAGAGTGCCTCTGCTCCGATGGCGAAGGGCGCCTTGAGCAGAGTGCCTCTGCTCCGATGGCGAAGGGCGCCTTGAGCAGAGTGCCTCTGCTCCGATGGCGAAGGGCGCCTTGAGCAGAGTGCCTCTGCTCCGATGGCGAAGGGCGCCTTGAGCAGAGTGCCTCTTCTCCGATGGCGAAGGGCGCCTTGAGCAGAGTGCCTCTGCTCCGATGGCGAAGGGCGCCTTGGGCAGAGTGCGTCCATGCAGCAGCGCATACGCTGACGCCCGTCATACTGGTCCCACCCTGCCACTATCACGCCCAACTCTCCAGGGGCGAAAGCGCCTTGAGCAGAGTGCCTCCCTGCAGCAGCGCATACACTGACGCCCCGCCATACTGGTCCCACCGCCCACTGTCATGCTTGCTCATAGCACGATTCCGCCCGCTGACCTCCGCAGCCCACCTGTTTACCACTGACAGCACCGCCCACTGTCATGCCCACCTGTTTACCACTGACAGCACCGCCCACTGTCATGCTTGCTCATAGCACGATTCCGCCCGCTGACCTCCGCAGCCCACTTGTTTACCACTGACAGCACCGCCCACTGTCATGCCCACCTGTTTACCACTGACAGCACCGCCCACTGTCATGCCCACCTGTTTACCACTGACAGCACCGCCCACTGTCATGCCCACCTGTTTACCACTGACAGCACCGCCCACTGTCATGCCCACCTGTTTACCACTGACAGCACCGCCCACTGTCATGCCCACCTGTTTACCACTGACAGCACCGCCCACTGTCATGCCCATCTGTTTACCACTGACAGCACCGCCCACTGTCATGCCCGCTGATAGCATGTTCTGCGCAAAACGGCAAGAGAATACCGGGATAGTCAGTCAGGGGACTAAAGGGTAGCACAACTAGGGCCCTCCAGCCTAGCAGCGCGTACACTGCTGCCCGTCGTACTGGTCCCACCCGCCCACTCTCATGCCCGCTCATAGCATGGTCTGCTCTGCAGGATGCTGATCCTGATGCTGATGCTAAGCAGTGCACCCCCCGCACAGCACCCCCCTTCTCCTTTGCTGTGGTTGATTCTCCTGTAGCTGAGGTAGTGTTCTCTTCCCCAAACAAGCTTTCACCACCAGCAGCGGCAGCAACAGCAGCGGCAGAAGCAGGGCAGTGGCAGAAGCAGGGAAAAGGGGGCGAAGCAGCAGCAGCAGCAGCAGCAGCAGCAATAGCAGCAGAGAGATGCTGGTCACACGAGCCTGGGTAACAAGGGTGAGAGCGGGCAATGGGAGTAGGGAGTCGGGGTGGGGGAAAAGAGGAGAGGTAGGGACAAAAGGGAAAACAGGGAAGGAGGAAGGGGGAAGGGCAAAGGAAAAAGGGTGAAAGGGGAAGGGCAAAAAGGGACGGGCAAAGGGGGATGGGCAAAGGGGGACGGGCAAAGGAGAAATGGTGAGAGGGGAAGGGCAAAAAGGGACGCACAAAGGGGGATGGGCAAAGGGGGACGGGCAAAGGGGAAGGACAAAAAGGGACGGGCAAAGGGGGATGGGCAAAGGGGGACGGGCAAAGGGGGATGGGCAAAGGGGGACGGGCAAAGGGGGACGGACAAAGGGGGATGGGCAAAGGGGGATGCGCAAAGGGGGACGGGCAAAGGGGGACGGACAAAAGAGGAAGGGGAAAGGGGGGAAAAGAAAAAGGGTGGACAGCAAAGGAGGAAGGGCAAGGGGGGACGGGCAAAGGGGGAATGATGGGAAGGGGGAAGAACGACGAGGTACAATTCACTTCTTGGTCATCCAATTACACTCCCCTCCCCCACCTTATCATTTGTTCCCCACCTCCTCTCATCCCACCCCATCTCACTGCACTCCACCAACCATCCTCTCCTCTCCGTTGCCCCTCTCTCAGCTCAGCCTCCTCCTCTCACACGTCGCCCTTCTGTATCTCATCCTGTCACACCCCACCGCACCCCACCGCACCCCACCGCACCCCACCGCACCCCACCGCTCCACACGCATCGCATCACACCTGGGTGTGTTCGATGCGAGCTCCTCCTCCATGAGCAAGTCGATCTCGTGCTGCTTGCTGGCCCTCTCCTCCTCCAAGCTCCTCCAAGCTTGCTGTTTGAGGCGAACGCGCATTCGCCTCAAACGCCACACCCGCCCCGCGCTGCATTGCCTCGTTCTTTGAGACGCCTCAAAACTCGGTCTCGTGCTGCTTGCTCGCCCTCTCCTCCCTCTTGCGCGCATTCGCCTCAAATACCACTCACACCCTGCATCGCCTCGTTCGCCCTCTGGGGGAGAAAGGGAGGAGGGGGAGGAAAGGGGGAAGGGGTTGAGAAGGGGGGGGGTGGGGAGACGTATCAGATCGTGCTTGCTGGCCCTCCCCTCCTCCCTGCGCGCATTCGCCTCAAACGCCACGCTTGCCCTCTGAAAGGAAAAGGGAGGCGGGGGAGGGGTGGGGGGCTGGGGGGATGAGCGCGCAGGGGGGATGAGGGCGCGGCGGGGATGAGGGTAGAGAAAGGATGAGAGTAGAGGGAGGGATGAGGGTAGAAGGAGGGATGAGGGCGAATCAGTGCTCCCGAAGACAAATGCAGTAAGAATAGGAAACGAGCATGCCAATGCCACCTCACTCACAATCCTTGTTGCCGACAGCACGACATGGCAATGGCACTGGGAGGGCGTCTAAGAAACGCATATTATGAAAGAAGGATTGGCTCAATTAAAGGAAGGGGATAGAGTGGTGCACTCATTGCTGCTACCACCACTCGCTCCCCAAGCCCCGAAATAGCCGTCTCAGTCTGAGTTCACTCATTATGCCAGTAGCGTCCTGCTGCTACTTGCACTCACTGGTAGTACTGACAATTCGATCAGAGCAAATGACAGTTGCGAGTTGCGATGCCACTAACGTTGAACGAATTAGCGAAGGGGAGCTACACGGACTAGGCGAAGGTGAGGAGGAGGATGAGACTGCGGCAATCCCAAGGGACCATCAGTTGGGATGCTAAAAGCAAGCACTAGCAAATCCGCTGACCGGAAAATCTACCGTGATTGCTCACAGTATCTTCACGGAATCTAAGCGTCTTTACAACTACTGCAGCCCTTCGACTATGAGTCAAATTGACCCTTGAAAAATACCATTGATGAGGCGTCTGAAATATCCAATCAGCTCATTCCGCGTCAAGTAGCGTATGATTTTCCTGAATCCAGGAACTACAAGCAACAGCTCCAGGACTTGTATTGCGAAGATCATGCTATCGTGAAGACTCTTACGGCCTTAGCGAGACTTCCGCGTGCAATCGCTTTCCGAAAATGCTAACTATTTCCGCGTGACACGGCGACGCGCAGAGGCTGAAGCAGTCGAAACCATTTCCGAATCACAATCACGCTAGCTGCCAATGGGATCTGAACCAGGATCTACTGAAAACATGTATCGAAGCACGCACCCCAGCCGATACGGCTCCATACGAACTCGCGCATTCCACCTCCATGCCGCCGTGACCGCGCGCCGACCAACGTGGATCAAATAGAGCAAAACAGCGTCTGCCTTCGCCGACAGCGTCAGCTAAGCCTTCGCCAGGGACTAATAAGAACTGCCTAGCCCGAATTCCAGTGACGAGCAACAGAAAATCTTTGCTGCTCAAACGGATTAGGAAGCTGTATCTAAGGCGGCGCGGCGACGCAATCTGAGAAGCACTTGTCAGATGAGTGAAGTCGAGAAGAACGAGTTGTTTACATTCATGCTGGTTTACTTCGGTGCGCAATGGTTGAATGTTCCTGATCAAGTGATACATGGCGATTGGCCCCGGCACCGTTCCTGACCGCGAGGGAACTTACTAAACCACGGTAGACGCGAGGCAAATGACCAGGGATGTGTGAGCTGGGTTCTTTGCAGTGTTACACAGTCCTCTTCAAAAAGTGCTTTCTTCTTTCATTCCAAAATCTCAACCTGGTAGTAACGAGTACAATGGAGGCCACCACGACGCGCAGCAGCCGAGGTCCGTGACCGTGATAGACCGTGACCATCCGATCATGTGACACGCCGTTACGTCGGAGCGCGTACGCGTCAAGTCGTTTTGCCGTTGCTGCGACACGGTAGGAGGCTTGAATCCACGGCAAGCCGTTATACGTAAGCGCTGTAACGATTGCGACACTTATAGCGAAGCGGATCGTAACGAGTACGATGGAGGCCACGAGGCGCAGCAGCCGAGGTCGCGAGTTAAAGCGCGTCGCGTTCGACGACGAGGAGCCGCTCAGCCCGCGCGCGATTCCCGCTAGATCCAGGCCGCGGCTGGCGCCCGCCGCGCGCGCGCACGCCTCCAGAACCGCGCATGTCGCCGTGGTAAGCGGCGCCGGGACCGGCGGTGCCGCCACGCCGCCATTGTCCGGGATGGCGACGGCAAGAGCAGCGGCAGACGCGCCTTCAGCGGGGATGGCGGCGGGGAAAGCGGAGTCGGGAGCAGAATATCCTGCCAACAGCGCCGCTGGCGCCGCAGCAGGCGGCGGGATTGGCGGCGGATTAGGGGCCGGCGCCATTAGGTCAGGAAGGCGCCAGAAAACACGAGGAAGGTTCGTGGCAGCTGCTGTTACAGGAGGTCTGCCCGAGGGAGGAATACCTATTAGCCGGCTGCCTGATAACGGGGTGGCAAATAACGCCGCGCACACTACTACGAGCTCTCATGCAGCGGCCTGGGAGACGTGTGAGGAGCCTCTGCAGCCAGGAGACAGGAGCGGGGAGCACCTAATGATGGTTGAGGCGCCTCAAGCGCCGGCTTGTGAGGGACTGCTTCGCGTGGTCGGTGGCGGGAGAGTGGGGAGGACGAGGCGCGGAGCAGCAGAGGCGTGGGAAGCACGGATGCAGGAGGGGGAGGGGGAAGAGGGGGATGAGGAGGAGGTGGTGGAGGTGGAGGGGGAAGATGTGGGGGCGGGCGCTTTAGAAGATCTGGAAATGCGGAGTGAGTGAACGGGGGGGACTGACGCATGGCACGGCGTGTACTGCTTCTACTGCCTGTACTGGCTGCATTGCTTCCATTCTGTACTGCCTGTACTGGCTGCCTGTACTGGCTGCCTGTACTGGCTGGCTCTTGCGTTTTGAGTCATCTTGACACTCGTTGCACCTGCATCTCTCGCTCTCCCTCGTCTTGCAGTGCAGCAACGGTGAAGGGCTGTGTGCGCCAACAAGCTGCCCTCTCAGTCCTTCTACTCTTGTACCTTGGCCAAACGGTTACTTATGAGACGTCTCAAAAGTCAGCAATGAAGGGCTGTACGCGCCAACAAGCTGCCCTCTCAGACCGTCTACTCTTGTACCTTGGCGAAACGGTTACACTCCCCCACCCTCCCCTCTCTCCCGTGTGTCATATGCATGGCGTGGCATAATCCACGTGGCATCTGTGTGATATATCATGGCATGTGTCCATCACATGGCAGTGGCAGCGCTGCAAGAGAGGCACATGAGGCTGCGCCAGAGGCTGCTGGGGTGAGTTATTCCCTTCCTTAACGCTTTCTCCCTCCCCCCCTTTCTCCTTCCTCAAAGCAACCTCCTCACAACACCCCCTCCCCCTACCCCTTCCCTTTCCCCTTTCTTGTTTCTCGTTTGTGTGTGAATGTGCTCCTCTCACCGCACCCCGTGCCATGCATGCATGCGTGCATGCATGACTTGCATGGCTCAGCTGCAGTCAGAATTTCACCAGCACTTCCACCGCACCACACCGCACTGACATGCATCACACCCCGCTCCCCGTGCGTCACACCCTCACACCCCCCATGGCATGCATGCAGGCATGCATTCATGGCTCGTGTGGCTCATCTGCAATCGGAATTCCACCAGCACTCCCAGCACACTGACAAGCAGCATATCACACGAGTGGCAGCAGAAGCAGCACCATCAGCAAGAGCAGCGGAACCATCATTCAACCCATCAGAGAAGCCAGCTGCATCAGCATCAGCGTCAGCATCACCATCACCAGCATCAGCATCAGCATCAGCGGCACCTGGTGTGTGGTTGAACCACCAGTGGACAGCCCTCCTCTCCCGCCTCCCCTCCTCGTCCCCTCCACCTCCCTCCGCCCACACTGCTGCTTGTGCCGATGCTGACAAAGCTGCTGCACCTGGGGTAACTGACAAAGCTGCTGCACCTGGGGTAACTGACAAAGCTGCTGCACCTGGGGTAACTGACAAAGCTGCTGCACCTGGGGTAACTGACAAAGCTGCTGCACCTGGGGTAACTGACAAAGCTGCTGCACCTGGGGTAGCTGACAAAGCTGCTGCACCTGGGTTAACTGCTGGGGGAGCAGCAGGGAATAGTGGTGCAGGTGGGAGTGCTGGCAGAGAGGCAGCTGAGAGAACTGCTGCGGGTGGGGTTGCTGCGGGTGGAGAAGCAGTGGAGGTTGCAGGTGGTACAGACAGTGGAGTAGCGGAGATGGAGAATGGTGCTGCAGGTGGGGGTGCTGCGGAGAATGGCGTTGGCGTTACTGCTGGAGGCGATATGGAAAACGCAGATGCGGGAGCAGATAGAGGAGCAGCTGAGGATGCAACAGGGGGTACTGCAGGAGGCCATACGAAGAATGCAGTTGCGGCAGCTGACTTATGTGCTGGTAACGGAGATGATCAAGGAATGGGTGATACACTGTGTGTTGAGAATGGTACTGCCCCTGCGGATCGTGCTGGAGATGATACGAAGAATGCAGTTGCGGCAGTTGTGGCAGCTGACTTATGTGCTGGGAACGGAGATGATCAAGAAATGTGTGATGGGACTTTTGAGGCGCCTCTAAAGGGAAATGACAGATGTGCTGACAAGGGAGATGATGGTAAGGGGATGGGTGAGGAGGGGGTTGGCGCACTGTGTGTTGAGGGGAGGGAGAGGGGTGCGATTGTGAGTGGGGGAGAGGAGAGTGGGGCCGGATTGGCAGGAGAGGCAGCAGCGGCTGGGAGAGGGGCAGCAGAAGCACCTGCAGTGGCAGCTGGAGATGTTGCTGTGGAGGATAAGGGAAGTGGTGAAGGGTTTGGTGCACTGTGCGTGGAGAAGAAGGAAAGGGACGAGGAGCAGGGTGGGGGAGAAGGCGAAGGGAAAGTGGTTGGCGGAGGGGAAAATAATGGGGCAGGGGAGGAGGTGGGAGGAGTGAGAGCATTAGTTGATGGGGCGGGAGAGGGGGTGGTGAAAGCAGAATCAACAGCAACGTTTGGTGCTGCTGCTGCTGCTGTTGAAGCCCTGGGTGCTGATGTTTCTGCTTATGCTGGTGCTGGTGGTACTGCCGGTGGTTCTGTTGATGCTGGTGCTGCTGGTGGTGCTGTGAGAGAACCTGGTAGTATCAATGGCTCAATACCCAAGACGGAAATGGAAGGCACTGCTGCTGCTGATGTGGACACTGGTGTTGCTGATGTGGACACTGCTGGCGCTGATGTGGGCGCTGCTGGCGCTGACGTGGCCAAAAGGAAAAGGGAGCTGGAGAACCAAGAGAGGGAGGTGGAGGGGGAGGAGAGGAGAGGCGACGGGATGGGAAGGGAGGTGCGGAGGAGAGGTGGTGACGAGGAGGAGAAGGTTGGGGGTGGCATGCGGGAAGGCAGTGCGTTTGGTGCTGGTGGTGGCGTGCAAGACAGCAGTGGGCATGGTGCTGGCAGTGTGGGGGAAGGCAGTGAGAGTGGTGTTGCTGCTGGTGGCATGGGGGGTAGTAGTGTGCGTGACGCTAAACCTGCCCTTGCTGCTGCTGTTCAGGTGAAAGCAGAACAGGGGGACGGAGGAGAAGGAAGGGGAGGAGGAGGAGGAGGAGGAGGAGGAGGAGGAGGAGGAGGAGGAGGAGGAGGAGGAGGAGGAGGAGGAGGAGGAGGAGGAGGAGGAGGAGGAGGAGGAGGAGAAGGAAGGGGAGGAGGAGGAGGAGGAGGAGGAGGAGGAGAAGGAGGGGGAGGAGGAGGAGGAGGAGGAGGAGGAGGAGGAGGAGGAGGAGGAGGAGGAGGAGGAGGAGGAGGAGGAGGAGGAGGAGGAGGAGGA